TGTTCATTGCGTGGAGCTCCCCATATGTGCATCTATTCGCATGGACCTGTCCGCCGTGAATGTCTAGGCGCAAGAGCTTTCGAATATAAACGGGCTTCAGTTGTGACGGTCTGGACATAAATCGAACTGCGAATGAATTGGAGTGTGAATGAGCCTCAGTAGTACGAGCGCGTCTCTGTGCATGAGCCTGGGGCCTCCTGGGGCCTCCTGAAACCTACTGGGGCTTCCTGGGGTCCCCAGGAGCCTCTTGGGGCCTCCTGGGACCTCCTAGGGAGGTTTCGTGCCCCAGGAGAGGCGCAATATATATATATATATATATAGCAACATACGTACATAAAACATTGCGGATTAGAGCCACAGGAGAAGGGCAATCTAAAGGAACACGCGTAAAACACCAAGGACTCGTACCCCAGGAGAGGCCCAATACATAGGAACAAAAGTAAAACATGTAGGATTGTGTACACAGGAGAAGGACCATCTATAGAAACATACGTATAACATCAAGGAATCGTGCTCCAGGTGAGGCCCAATCGATGGGAGCATACGTAAAACACATGGGATTGGAGCCACTCCTGTTGCCTCCCTGAAGGCCTCCTGCTCCTGGGGCCTCGACGGGCCTACCTGTTAGCCTTCCGAGGCCTCCTGCGCATCCTGTTGCCTTTGGGGGCCTTCCTGTGGTTTCCTGAGGGCTTCTGGAGCTTCCTGGGGCCTTCCTGGAGCCTCTTGGTTCTTTGGGACCATCCTGTGGCCTCGTCGAGACTGTCTGGTCTTGGTGGTACACCCTGAATAGCCTCTGGGACCTCATGTGGTCTCCTGGGGCCTCCTGGAGCCTGCTGGAGCTCCTGTGGCATCCTGAAAAGAATCTGCGCCCACGAGCCTGGCCACCAAAACAAGCAAACCGATCGAGACATCCTCAAAATCTAGCCCACCTGGGGGGTGAAAATGAGCGCCTCGCTCGAGACATCCTCCAAATCTGCTCTGAAAGCGAAGGATGTTGGCACAGAAAACAGGCAAACCGCTCGAGGCGTCCCCACAAAATCCTGCGAAAGGCGCCGAGTGAAACACCCCCCCGCCGCTCCCCTTAGGAACGTGAAAATGAGCGCCTCGCTCGAGACATCCTCCAAATCTGCTCCGAAAGCGAAGGATGCTGGGACAGAAAACAGGCAAACCGCTCGAGACATCCCCACAAAATCTGGCGAAAGGGGCCGAGTGAAACACCCCCCCGCCGCTCCCATTAGGAGTGCTGAAGCCACAGAATCGCCTGAGACATCCTCAACATCATGGGGGTGGTGTTGTGTGTTAAGCATCCGTTATTTAAGGGAGGGGACCTGAGCGAGTGTATTGAATGTATGGAGTACTATTTACTAAGTGTAGTCTGAGAGATGAGTGAGTATCTGAGTGATTGAGTGAGTCTGAGTATTATGCGTGATACTGAGGTGATGAGTGATGAGTCAAAGTCATGACTGAGACGATCCTGTGTATGTAGTGTGTCTGAGTTGAATATTAGTGAGCCTTAGAGACTGACCCTGAGTCTGAGATTAAGAGGGGAATCTCAGTGAATGACTGAGTCTGATGATGCTGAGTGAGAGGACGGTGAGTGGTGTTGTCTCTCTCTTCTCTGTTCTTCCCGGCGCGGTTCCGCCAAAAAACAAGAACCCATACTTAGGATATGGGGAAACAAGAACCCCAAAACTTATGATATGCGGGAATAATCCCGGCAAAGCAACCTAACAGCGATGTGTAGAAGCATATCTGAAAGCATTCCCCTTAAGATTCATATGAAAATCCAGTTGTCGAATTCTGCTGTTCTCGCAGTCGTAGTCGCATTCGCGATGACAGTCGCAGCGGCAACGGCAGTCGCAGTCACAGCCTCAGCCTCAGCCTGCCTCCTCCTCCTCCTCTTTCTCCTGCTCCTGCTCCTCCTCCTCCTCCTCCTCCTCCTCCTCCTCCTCCTCCTCCTCCTCCTCCTCCTCTTCCTCCTGCTCGTCCTCGTTCTCGTCCTCCTCGTCTTGCTCGTCCTCCTCCCCCTGGTGCTCTCTCCTCCTCCTCCTCCTCCTCCTCCTCCTCCTCCTCCTCCTCCTCCTGGTGGTCCTCGTTCTCCTCCTCCTGGTGCTCTCCCCCCCCCTCCTCCTCCTCGTCCTCCTCCTCCTCCTCCTCCTCCTCGTCCTCCTCCTCCTCTTCCTCCTCCTCCTCCTCCTCCTCCTCCTGGTAGTCCTCCCCCTCCCCTCCTCCTCCTCCTCCTCCTCCTCTTCCTGGTTATTCCTGGTCGCCCTCGTTCTCGTCCTCCTCGTCTGCTCGTGTAGGCGGGGAGGTGATACTCTCCTCCTCCTCCCCTACTCTGCAGGACACTCCGATCGAATAACTCTCCGTCCTCCTGGTGGTCCTCGTTCTCCTCCTCCTGGTACTCTCCCCCCCCCTCCTCCTCCTCCTCCTCGTCCTCGTCCTCCTCCTCCTCCTCCTCCTCTTCCTCCTCCTCCTCCTCCTCCTCCTCCTCCTCCTCCTCCTCCTCCTGGTACTCCTCCCCCTCCCCTCCTCCTCCTCCTCCTCCTCTTCCTGGTCGTCCTCCTCCTCCTGGTCGTCCTCCTCCTCCTGCTCGTCCTCCTCCTCCTCCTGCTCGTCCTTCTTCTCCTGCTCCTCCTGCTCCTCGTCCTGCTCCTGCTCGTCCTCGTCCTCCTGTCTTGCTCGTCCTCCTCCTCGTCGTGCTCTTGCCCCTGCTGAAAATGTGGCCCAGGAATGGGAGTTCTGGGAAGTCGAAGAGCACGAAGTTGCCTACAGTTGGCTACGGGCATTCAAAATGTGGCCCGGGAATGGAGTTCTGGGAACTCGAAGAGCACGAAGTGGCCTACATTTGGCTCCGGGCATTCAAAATGTGGCCCGGGAATGGAGTTCTGGGTACTCGAAGACCACGAAGTGGCCTACAGTTGGCTCCGGGCATTCAAAACATTCCAAAAAGCGATGGGCGCGGGAATGGAATTCTGGGAACTCGAAGAGCACGAAGTGTGTGAACTGTTGCATCCCGGATTTATCTAAATGTGGCCCTGGGAATGGCGTTCTGAGTTCTGGGAACTCAAGAGCACCGAGAAGTGTGTGACTGTTGCCTCCGGTTATTCTAAAGGTGGCCCGACTGTTGGTGAAAAACGTCCCAACACCTGCCCGGACCCCCCTGTGGAGTGATCTGTGACCTCTTTTGACACTACTAGAAACCTATCAGTCTTCGCTGTTAGGTAAAAACACGGCGATGCGAGGTGGGGGAAGCCCTCCCTGAAGGGGCCCTGGGACACACAAATGAATACACACAAATCAAATGGTTCCCCATATTTTCCTATATGTTCTGGGTCTCTGTCTCCCCGCCCAGTTCCCACATTTTCCCATATATATTTTCGGGGGGATCGACGATGCATTGTGTCTGTGTGTTTTTTCCCTCCTGACTCCCCTCCAACTGGCCCGCCCGAAGTGGGCGCGCAAGACTGGGCACGCTGCCCAACCGCAATTCTTTGTCGTGCTGCCCCAAGCAGACGGCGGCCGCCGCTGCGCAGACGGCCTCCTGCCTCAGAAACGGACAGGGCCCGCGGCGGCACCCACGGCGAGTCCCGTCCACGAGTGACCGCGACGGCGGTCGGCCTCCGACACCATTCTCTCCTCCCTCCTCCTCCTCCTCCTCCTCCTCCACCTCCCTTCTCCTCCCTCCTCCTCCTCGTCCTCATATTCCTTCTCCTCCTCCTCCTCCTCCTCCTCCTCCTCCTCCTCCTCCTCCTGTCTCGGTCCTGTAAGCGTTTTTCTTGTTATGGATTTCGCTGTTTGGCAGAATGTGACTACCTACCAGACCACCCCAACCCAACCCGAAGACCCGAATTTGACCCGAATTTCGGGTTGGGGGGGGTACGGATACCATGTGTTTTTTCAACGTTCCCAGCCCCCCCCCCCCCCACCGGAAATGGAGGGCAAATCGAAGGCTTCGGGTTGGGTTGGGGTGGTTTGGTGGGTGGTGAGAATGGTGGGGGAGGGGGGGAGACGGGTCTGGGCCGGTGCATAGTCGATCTACTTTTACCCATCGCGCACGCAGATTGGGGGCGGGGGGTCCTGACCAGCCGCCAGAAGCAGCTGCCAGAGGCAGGCAAGATCTGGTCAATGGGGGGGGGGAGGGGGGGGGGGGCGGGGGCCCTCGCCGACCGGCGAAACACAGAATCAAAGAACAGCGACCCGTGGGGGGTCTCACAACTCTCCCAGACACTTTCAAACCCCTCCCAGACCAGCCATGAAATGGCGGCCTTCTGCCCAGACCCCCCCGAATCCTCCAAGACAGCTCAAATCAGACCCCCTAGGTGTGACCCCCACCCCACTTCTTATGAAGCCCGGAAGGCCCGTCTCGATCCTTCTGGGGAAACCAAAGGGTACCGATCTTGCTGCTCCCCGGACCTCTCCAGGGGTGCCTTCTGACAAGGAGTCCGAGGCGAATCCAGCCGTGGCGATGAGGGCCTCCCAGGAGGCCCAAAAGGAGAAAACGAGGCGAGGGTAGCGGTATTGGGTACCTTTGACGCAGAAGGAGATACTAGTACTGTGTTCTCCTCGGAGGCGTGCGTCCAACCCGAACATAATCCTCTAGAATATCGTTTCCCGAGCGGCGTGGCCAGCAAGCGCCCGCCACAGAGCTTCTACAAGCTTACACTGTAAGATGTCTCGGCTCGCGCGTCGCCCCTCAGGGGGCGGCGCACACACCGTATTAGCATGCTGAGGTGACGCCGACTCATGAACGTTTGCTTCTTCGCCGTTTCGACATTGGGCGGAAGGGGAAAGGGGAGAGGGGGGGTCTGGCTCCGGACCTCTGCTTAGCGCGACTGTTTGCGACAGTGCGTCCCATGGGGGGAGACTCCACCTGCTTGAAGCAGGCGCCAAACACAGCCAAGACTCACTCTCCATGGGGGGAGGGGGGGGGGTGCGAGGGCCCGCGCCGATCGGCAAAAGAACGAATAGGAAAACGACCACCTCCAGGTCCCCGAGGCCTGCTGCTGCGCCAGCGCGCCCACGCGCTCCGCGAGGCCGCCCAGCTCCTGGTCGAGCCTTGCGCCGAAGGCCTGCGGCGCCCGCGGGGCTCCGAGGGGCGCCATAGGCCGCCAGAGGCCGCGACGGCGAGGACGCGCGGCGACGGCGGCGACGGCGCCAGCGCCGGCGAAGAGCAGAAGATGGAGCCAAAGAGACAATTTGTTCCTTGCCCTTTCCCCCTTCTCCTCCTCCTCCTCCTCCTCCTCCTCCTCCTCTTCCTCTTCCTTCTGCTCCTGCTCCTGCTCCTCCTCCTCCTCCACCTTCTCGAGGCCGGGGGATTGTGGAGCCCCTCGGTGTCCCAGAGGAGTTGTTACGAGCTTCCAGCCTTGTCTTCGCCAGTATCCTTATATTTCCTCTCTCATATTCTCCCTCTGCCTCTCTCTCTCTCTCTCATGCACACTATACGCAGCTGCTTCTTTAGGCATCACAAACGGATCGAAAACCAAGCCAATGATGTTCAATGCCCCCGCAACAAGAATCCGCTGGGAACCAACACCACGGGATTATATAGGAAACCTCATCATCGGAGCCCTTTGGAAAGCACTGCTGAAGGCTTCTGCTAGAAAGCGTCACAAGAGAAATCCTTTCGAAAGCGCCACGAAAAGATTCGATTGAGAGCCTCACATCAGGAATCCTTGAAAGCGCCACAGAAGGGTTCAAATGGAAAGCTTCGCACTCGGAACTCTGTGCGAAGTGCTACACAAGCACTGGAGTGGATGGCCTCACAACAGCAATATGTTGGAAAACGTTACTAACACATTCGATTAGACACAATCATACTTGCAACCCCTGCTCCAGACGGGCTCAGCGGGGAAAAAAGTACAGTCGGAATCCGGTGGAAAGGAATATCAAAGACTGTTTCGGAAGGCTTCACAACGGAGATCATTTGGACAGCACAAAACAAGGTTGTATTGGAACGCCCGCAACAGGAACCCTTCGAAAATCACCCCACATGGATGCTATGGCCTTGCAACGGTAATCCGCTCGGAACCACCACTACAAACAAAGTATCTGGTGAAATGTCGTAAACGACACCGTCTAGAAAGCATTGTTGAAGGCTTCTAGTGCGAAACTCTACAAGAAGAAACCGTTGGACAGCACAGAATTATTCGATTGGAAAGCCTCGGGTTTGGAACACTGTGCGATGTGCTACAAAGGAATTCGATCGTATGGCCTCGCAACAGGGAAATCAAACAGGTTTTCCCGACGGCCTCGCAATAGAGATCCTTTAGACAGCGCCAAAAAATACCCTGCGACGTACCCAACCCTTTCTATACATTGGTGGTTACATTCGGGACCACTCAATGCTGACGAGCATGCTGAAAAACTCGCAGTGCGGAAGAAGAGCACCCATCAGTGAACTCAGACGAGCGCAGCAAGAGCAGCAGCGGCAACGTGTCGTATTGATGCGGAGCTCAACACGCAGGCTGAAGACGTGGGTCCGACGCGATACACTCGCCAAAACGTGGTCCAATACGCGGGGCCAACACGCAAGGTATTGACAAGGACGTCTTGAACACGGGACGTATTGCGTTTCAAAACGGGCGTATCAAGGCAACTAAGTGGATTAGCCATCCATGGATCTGGCGCGCGGTCGCCAATTCCATTGATCGGGGGAGGTGCCCTTCCCAACATGCGGCCGGTGCCGCCTCGCTCGGCGGCGGAAGTCCGCGATCTCCCGTGGGAGCGGGACCCGTCGCTAACACACGCCCCCTGAATCCATGTTTGCGATCCTGGGCGGGGTGGGCTATATCAGACCCCTATCGTTATGTCGTTCGCATCGCACTTAGGCATCACATCTCAGAAATCATCTCGAGCTCCCAGAAGACTATCGAAACGGTGTCGAACGAGTATCACCTCCTGGGGCCCGAACGAGTATCCCTCCTGACAAGAGTGCGGATCGGGAACATGGGCTCCTTCGCCAAGAGTCCGAGGCCCCCGGGAGATATATCCCGAACGGCGAGGCGGATCCGAGGTGGAGGGCCCCACGGCGAAGAACAGAAGGGTGCCCCTCCAGAGCCAGGAGGAGGAGGAGGAGGAGGAGGAGGAGGAGGATCGGTCTTACCCCTCGTGCCCGCTGTGGCAAGAGGGGGGGGGGGGCGTCCGCGACTCCCTTCGCGCAGCTGGCTCCTCCTGCGGCCCCCCGGGGCCCCCGAGCACTCGCCAACACTGCACCTTGGAGAGCGCCCGGCGGGGCCGAAAAGCCGGCTGCGGGCAGCAGCTTCCGCGGACCCCTCCCTGCCCGGCCTCCCCCCTCTCGTCCGACCCCCGGCGGGATGCTCCTGCTGCTCGTCGAAGACCAGGCGAAGCTGGGACGAGGACAAGACCCGGTGATGCCTCCCCCTTCGTCCGACCCCCGACGGGATCCCCCTGCTCCTCTCATGAGACGAAGCGAGGACGAGGAGGCAAAACCGGGCGAGGAAGCATCAGGAATACCCGAGATCCGGCGGCTCTGGAGGATGCCTCGGGCGCCGCGGCCTTCTCAGAGCGTTTCAGCACGCTCTGAGAACGTTCCCGAACGCTAAAAAATCCCCGTCCCAGCCCCGTCCGATCCCTTCCCAGCCTCCCCCTTCCGTCCGACCCTCGACGGGATCCTCCTGCTCCTCGCCCCCCCCCTCGTCCTCCCAGTCTGCCTCGCCCCCAGCCCGAAGACACGAGAAGCGGGGAGGCGGGGAGGGGCTGCCGCCACTGCTCATCGGATCCACCTTCTTCTAAGCTGTGCGCTGGTCCCCCCATCCTCCCCTTCAGCCTTTTCGGCCGTTGAAGTGCGCGGTGCCACGATGTGAAGCCAGCAGCGGACAGCCGAGAGCAAAGCGGGACAAAGAGGCGACAGCACCTGGCCAAGCACAGCACCTCACCTCCTCTTGATGGCTGGCCTCCATCCTCACATCCTCCCCCTGGAGAATCAACCAGATCCCGAACCATTTACTCCCCGGGTGCGCTCTGCCCAGACCTTCGAGGCGACTCCAGCCGTGGCGACGAGGGCCTCCCAGGAGGCCCAAAAAGGCGAGAATGAGGGAAGGGAAGCAGTTAGGGGGACAAGCAATGGCATGAACATAACAACTCGGAGGGCCACGCGAATTTCTCGGATCGGCGCTGGACCCCTCCTTGACGCGCAGAAGGGCGGCGCTGGAGACGCCGCCAGGGGGCCCCAGCGCCGATCTGAGAAATCCGCACGGACCTGCGAATGTTCGCCGATCTGATGCTTACGTCATTGTTTTGTGTTTGTTTGCCCCCCTAGCGTTATCGGTGGCACTTCCTCCTCTGGCCCTCCGTGGTCTCCTTGGCCTCCCTGGCCTTCCCTGTCCCTCCCTGACCTCCCCTGGCCTCCCGACCCCTCCCGCCTCCCCTCCTCGGCCCTCCCTGGCCGCCCCTGGCCCTCCCTGGCCTCCCTGGCCCCTCTGGCCCCTCTGGCCCTCCTCGGCCCTCCTTGGCCCCCCTGGCCCCTCTGGCCCTCCTTGGCCCTCCTCGGCCCTCCTTGGCCCCCCTCTGGCCCTCCTCTGGCCCACCGTTGGCCTCCTGAGCCCCTATGGAGGCCGCCCCGGGGGTCCGCCGCCCTCGCGGCCCCGCGCCACTGGGCCTGCCGGGGCCTCCCCTCTCGGGAGGGGAGAGGGGACAACCGGGTGGCGCAGGAGCCGAGGAGGAGGAGGAGGAGGAGGAGGAGGAGGAGGAGGAGGAGGAGGAGGAGGAGGAGGAGGAGGTAGGAGGAGGAGGAGGATGGAGGAGGCAGGAGGAGGAGGGCAGCAGGGGGCAGGGTGGGGCAGCGGTGGGGCCGGCAGAGGGCAGGGCAGAGAGTCAGGCTCTCCTGGCGGCTGGTCTTCCTGGGTGGCCCCCCCGCGCCGGGGAGGCCTCATCCTCCTCTCCTCCTCCCTCCTCCTCCTCCTCCTCCTCCTCCTTCTCCTCCCCCCCCCCTCTGGAGCAACCCGACGACCTCCGCCCCCTGGTATCGAGGAGTGGGCCCGGCGGCAGAGCGCAAAAATCGGCTGCATGCAGCAGATGTCGTGGCCCCCCTGTTGCCCGACCCCCCCTTCCGCCCGCCCCGGCTCGGGTGTCGCTAGAAGTACCCCGGGGCCCAAGGAGCCCCCAGGATTCTCGGGGTGGCCCAGGCGGCCTCCAGGGCACCCCTCACGAGGCCCAGAGGGCCCCAGGGGCTCCCAAATGGAGCGAAAAAGCTGGGAGCAACCTGGGCCAGGGGCACTTCTAGCAACACCCGACCGACCCTTCCCCTCGGGGCTCTGGCGACGACCCCTAGAACCCTCCCAAATCTTCGACGGCATGCGTCTGGACCATCCTGGCGCTCTTCCGCGATGTCGGCCTCTGGGGCCCGCTTTCGCGCCCCTGATGGGCCACCAGCAACGCATCTGGGACGAAAAAGCCTGTCCCCGGGGAGGCGGCCGGTACCGCGCACCGAAAGGAAGGAGGGAGGAGGAGGAGGAGGAGGAGGAGGAGGAGCAGGAACAGGAGGAGGAGGAGGAGGAGGAGGAGGAGGAGGAGGAGGAGGAGGAGGAGGAGGAGGAGGAGGAGGAGGAGGAGGAGGAGGGGGAGGAGGGAAAAGGAAAACCATCGGAGGGCGTCTGGGCTCGAGGCTCCCCTCGGGCAGCCCGCCCACGCCTTGGAGCGAGGCGAGCGGGCCGTCGCGGAGGGGGCCGGTCTGCTATGGGGTCGGTCAGGCCGCCCCTGATCGCCGGACGGGATCGCCGCTCCTACCCTCGTCGTCTGGCCCCTCCCAGAATCGTCCCAGATCCGACGGCATGATGTTGGGCCATCCTGGCGTTCTCCTCCTCCTCCTCCTCCTCCACCTCCTCCGCCTTCTCCTCCTCCTCTTCCTCCGCTCATTTCCTTATCAATAGCTTCTCCCTGTCGCACCCCGAAGCAAGTTTCCAGGGCGGGCTAGGCGCTTCGCCTGAGACTTCCTCACCACTTGTGACGCTGAAGCTTAAACATTGGCCATAGTTTCACAGATGGAGTGCGGGTCGTTGATTGAACATGTGGCTCTCGCTTTAGCGCCGCGCAAATTCGCTTCCAGAAAGCATGGATGTTTGGAAGGATCAATGATTATGAGGGCACCACAGTTACGTTGATTCGCGGTGTGAAATCATAGGAATGGCGTTCTGGCACGATTCAAGATCGTCAAGACGCAACAGTCCGGTTGATCCCTGGCGTTGGAATCCCGAGAACAGGACCTTCAAGCGGCTGTCTTCCAATGAAGCAGTTCCCTGTGGAAATGCACCGTTGTAGGGGCCTATGAAGGGGGAGCTTGGAGGGAGGGGTTATTCCAACATCATTGATGACTCTTGGGCTTACACTGGTACTCCTCCTCCTCCTCCTCCTCCTCCTCTCCTACCCCCCTCCTCCATCCTCCTCGTACATCATCCTCCAACAATCAGCAGCCCCCTACTACTACTCCTCGCCACCTCCTCCCACAGCATCCTCCACATATGACTCATGAAGCATCATCAAA